CCTGGTGTGTAGATATAGGAGCCATTAATCATATCTGCAAATCCTTTTACAAAGAGCTTACCAGCAAAGATTTTTTATAGTCATGTAGAGGGAATGGGAGTTAAATGTATGATAGCATGACTTTGAGTACAAGTGGGAGAATTGATAGAGTAGTATACTAAAAGTTTGCTTTTTGTAATGAAACTCGTTTTATAAATTAATAAATTTTTTTTCTTTTAATTGAGAATCTGCATGGGTAAAATGTTTGTATTATATTTTATACTAGTCATAACCCGTGCCTCAAGGCATGATAAAATATAAAATTCGAGCGTCAAAAAAAATCGATCCTACGATATTAAATTTTTTCAACATGTGTATACTATTGTATATAAAAAATGTTTGAAATAAAATTTATATTAACTACAAATTAATCAAATATTAAATGATTAAACATATTATAGAAATGAGTGATGTGATATTTTTAGGAAAGAAATATATAAATAATTAAATATGTGATAAAAATAAGTGATGTGACTTGACGTTTGAATTTGACAGAAAGATGATGGTGAGGTAAGTGATTGGTGATAGTTTTGAGGGAGAAAATATAACTAGAATAAAATTCAAAGTATGAGCTGTTTTATTATATAGATATGATATGCATGTGTGTCTTATATTTTATATTGTAAATAATCTAGTGTGTAGAGTTCGGCTTATGTACAGAAGACCAGATTATCAGATCCTTATATAATATGAGTAAATGTTTACAATCGTAGATGGAATTCGACACGCCATCCGTATGATTGTAGCATAGTCTGTCTTGACTGTAGGAGATTGTTTGATATCTTGGATTATTACAATAGAATACTTTGTGTATTGAACAGACTCATGTTAAGGTTATTATCTTTTACTGATTTAATAAGATAATAAATATCTCATTATTATTATGATTGTTTATGCTCTTAATTCCCAAATATTTAATTGTCACGTGCATATAATGTTTGTCACTCTAATTCATCAAAGAGTGAGATTCATATTGGGTTAATAAGCTCAATGAATTGGGAGACGATGTTATTTGTATGGTGGAAATTAAATGTTAAAGGTCAAACCTTGCAGGTGGATTTAATTATCCGACATGACAAATAAGTTGAGAGGTAAGGTCTCAAGGAATAAAAGAAGTCAATTAAATATAATTGTCAATTATTTATTTAATTGATGGACATCTGTAATCTTAAACGTGAGGAGATTATTAAGCATATAATAATAAGGAGCTCGAATATAATTTTGAGATAAGGCGTAGGAGATCAATAATAAGTCTTTAGTAGACTGACTAATTATTAATGGGTTGTTGGATGTTTGTTCTGAGTTGAACATAGAAATCCTAAGCCCATTGGAAGCCCTGTCCCTATTTCTCCTTAGGGTCTCTATCGTAGCCTATATATAAACATCTAGGTTCTCTATTTCAGCATTTTTTCTTTACTCGCATTTTTTAGAGAGGCTGAAAGAGAGAACAAGGATTTAGAGGTCTTGGTAGCCCACACTACATTTGGATTATGACGTTTGGGGATATACGATAGAATGCTGCAAGGTTCTTCAAGCTGTAGTCGTTGTTCTATTCTACATTCGTGCTGAGAAGAGATCAATCCAGAGAGATCTCGAAGGTAAACCCTAATTCCGTCTTGTAAGATTTTAAAAAAAAAATTGATATTCGATACATACGTGCTGTCAATAGCTCTTGGGATTTTCCGTTCCAACATGAACATTAGGAATTATCAAATGAACATAAGGAATTATCTTACAATGACATGTGTGATGCCTTGAATGATATGCATGATGAGGTGCTTAGTCTTAGCAAAAGCTATAAGGGTCTCAAGAAGTTAATTATTTTATCAAATGAAAATGATGTCTTGAAAATTGAGAATGAGAAACTCAGGCTATGTTTGGTTTGTGATCCAGAAACAGTTGTTTGTCTTCAAAATTTTAAAAATATCCAAAACTTGTTTATTTAGCATTTTTGTTCTCTAAATTTTGGAAAAAAAATGAGATTTGAGTCAAAGAAGCAAAAAACAAGTGTAGCTTATTTTTAGAGTTTTTTTTGAAAATTTTGGAAACAAAGAGAACAATTTTGGATGTTCAGATATGAGTATATATATTATGAAATTTTCAATATAAAAAAAAAAATTTTATATTTTTATTAATGTTTGAATTACAGTTCAAATATATATTTAGACTATCCAAACAAGTTTTACTATTTTCTGTATTGTAAACTTGTTTTTGAAATCATCTAACCAAACAAGTTTTTTATTTCAAAACATATCAAAACCACTTTCTTAAAACTCTTCTCAAAAACTGTTTTTAGATATTATTTTTTAAAACGCAAACCAAACAGGCCCTCAAATTTCAAAATGATTCTTTGGAAAAAGAATCTCATGATTCATCCTTGATTGAAAAGCTTATGAATGCAAAAAATGAGTTAAGACGAAAGAACTATGAACTAAACACAATTGTTTCTAAATTGACCCAAGTGAGAAATTAGAAAAACTTCTTTCAAGTCAAAGATCTGTGTTTAACAAGGCCAAACTACTTTTCAACAAAGGGGGTGAATAGATTAAGTGGATCTTTGCTCACATCATAAATATGGATTGCAAGACACTACTTAAAGGGGGTGAATAGATTAATTAAAATGTAAGCTCTAATGTCCACCAATTTTAACTTACTAATAATAATTCGTGCCTAAAGATAGTTTGTAATTTAGAAAAATACTTCAATTTAAAATAGTTTTTCCTTCATTTTCTTTAATTAAAGAAATTGAAATCAATAACCCATGCTATTTTTTCAAAAAAAATTTGAAGAATTTCTTCTAAAAATAGGAACCCATGAAAATTTATATCTGTCTACAGTGACATCAATTGCATCATTACCTAACACAAACCATTCAATCTCCCAACACAAATTATTGCATAACCAATCTCAAGAATAAATTACTCAACCTAACTCAAAAACAACTTCAAATTTTGGTCCCTACATAATAGAAGCCAAAATAACAGTTATATCATAATAACAAAAGTTATTGACACATGTTATACATCCAAGTCCAACCAAAGATCTAAATCCACATAAATAAGAATCCTTTGGTTTGAACATTCCATATTTTGAAGCATCATCAGCCAATAATGAAATTGCAACCCTTCGAATAACTCTTATTATCAATCCCTCCATGTAACCCACTACAAATTTTGGTTTTATCAATCCCTCCAAGATCCCAATCGCATTACCCACGAAGTAATTTCCAATACAATTCAATAGCAGTAAACATTAAAATAAATAAATGAACACAAAAATTATCTTATGTAATTACAATTTTTTTCCACAGCTCATCCTACACATAGCATTAGCTAACATCAAACCACATTGCTAGCAAAGAAGAATATGTAGTCGAAAAAGAACATACCTATAATAAAAACAAAGTCTTTAAGTTATATTCAAAATTTATAGCATACCTTTCAATCGTAGAATTAATTAATAAACTGGTAAAATATAACATTAATCACTAAAATATATGATACATTGTGAAACACTATTGTTATCTAAAGAATCAAAGAATGGGAAATCAAAAACTTCGGATTAAAACTAAAACACAGAAGGAGAATGGGAAAAAAATCAAAGGAAAATGAAATGCAAACATCTTCAAGCAATAAATTGAGGTGCAGAATCAGGTTATTCACCTTATAATATAACTTAGCATTTCATTTAGTAATTAAGAAGTTAAAACCTACATTAAGAAAGTCGAGACAAAAAAAATTAATCAAAGATTAGGATCCACAACATTGCTTAATGCAGTCATGTCATGAATAAATAATCAAATTAAATAGAATGTAGGCTCCCCCAAAATTATAAACAAACATGAATAGAATTTACCAATAATGAAATCTGTGTCTGACAATAAAAAACAAAAATTAGATATAACCACAAATGAGTTATAGTAAGAGTTAGACATGTAACTCACAATTGGAATATGCTGATCGTCAAGCAAGGGAAGATTGCTATCACTAAATTGTCTACTAGTGGAATATGCAAAGGTCCCTTACTCAGTCTCCAAGTCAACTTTCTCATTTATCCCCCTTTTCTACCTAGCTAGTGCTATATAGCTTACGGTTATCATCCTGCATGCATTCTTTTTTGACTAGTGCAAACACCACAACATTCTTATTAAATCCTTGGGCCAACTCACATAATTAATTGATTAAAACCAACTCTTTTCTTAACCACTGCAAGTAGCCTTTTCCTCTATGTTTCAGAGAGGCACCACTTGTGCAGTTGTGCCTTCCTTTATCCAACCTAACCCATTTACTGAACTAATTAAAATAGCAATGCATCATTAGCAACACATTCACCTGAAAGAATTGGAGATATCATATCAACAACCTCAATTCCAATAAAACAACATCCACAAACAAACTGAAAATCCAACATTTAGAAGCAAATGCATATGTAAAAAAGTATATAAAGGCATTGAAATTTACTTTCCTCCAAGTGATGGATAAATTGGTGGAATAAATCCGACTTGTAGTATTGGCCGTTTTAATTACTTAAATCAATTTGGCTAAATTGGTGGAAGGGATTGGATAGATAAGTTTGGTGGATTGTGCTTTATTGACATCAAATTAATTAGGGATTTTGGAAACATTGACAAATATTTCATTGAGGGATTAATTGCATTAATTAATTGATTAAATTGTAATTGAGTGAAATAATTTTTATTGAGGCATATATTCCAAGTTAGAGTGCATTTGACCTATTCACTCCATCTAAATCAACTACATATGTTATTGATGAAAGGACGGCAGACATGCAAGTCAGATCAGCCCGTTGCTTCTTTATCTGATAGTTCCACTTTCTGATTGTGGAGCAACAACAAAAGGAGTGAGCTATTCAGCCTATTGAGTTCGACAGTAGGAACTGAAGTCAGGTACCCACATGAACTGGGTTAGAAAATTATGTAAGAATACTAATTTGACCACAAGAAAAACCTAGTCCATCAATTTTGAACTACGAAAGCCAAAAAGAAATAACTAGATTCATAGTTACAAGCATGTACTAAAACAACAAAACAAAAACCATTATGTGAGTTCTGTGCTAAAAGGTCATCAGGAAATTAATCGCTAAACTCAATATGAATATCATAATGCCCCACTTTTCGATCAATGATTTTAAGCCCCTTGATCCACTGCAGACGAGCTTCTTGTTGTGATATGTGCAAACGGGTTGCTTCCTGAAATAAGAATTTGCAACCAACAACACGTCTGTTTAGAAGACGATCGTGCATGATGTTACATTAGCCATAGACATAGATAGCTGGTTTGTTGCTGATAAACTTAGTCCTTCCCAAAACTCATAGTCTATCACACGCTGTTATACAAGGCGTGGTCATTTAGTGAAAATAAGATGGATCTACTGACAGGTTCATCTTATACCTTGTAGTGCATTAAAAAAAAAACAAAGAATACAAAAAAATTATCAATATTGCTGGCTATATATATATATCCTTAAAAACATACCTGGAAGAGCAAAATGTGATGACATAATCCGTCGCCAAGCATGTATAAATGCTGCTACGATCATCATACGCATAACTATATGCATTGGGACAAGCTTCCTTAAATTTTTTTGAGTAATTTGTAGGTTGACATTCGGCCGAATTTCCATAAGCACCTCTGCAACAGTACTGATCAGTGTTAAACACGTCGCATGCACTCCGACACCCAACAACCTTCCCCCTGGCCTTGACTGCGAGCTCGGATGGGCAATTAGTCCTCAAATCTCCAGTACATCCAGCAATGGTACAATTTCCTTTACCACTAATTGGCGTAACAGCTAATGGCAAATTGAACCCATCCACAAGGCTAACATCATAAAAATCGAATGCTGCAAAGGTGAATTCGGCTAGCGAAGCCGGGGTTTCGCCTGAGCCGACACACTTGAGGGATGTGCCACAGTTACCTGTTTGGCACGTTCCGTTGCCATTGCTGTCAAAGTTGCAGCCTGTTCGTCCCCATAATCGACCTGACCAATTGATTGGAGCTGTTAGGACTATAGATTGGCTTGGTTTTAGAACAAAACCGCCACCACTGAAGTTCTCTCCTGGGATAATGGCTGGCCAAATTGTCTCTTTGCAGTCGTTTATGATGGTGAATACTCTTTTAGATTCGGATAATTTTGCACCTGCATGCCCAAAACGAGCTTGATAAGAATAGGTGGTACATCATTTTCTGATCACAACATGATTGTGATGATAAAAGTAAAAGATAAAAAAGCTATTTTCTGATCACAACAAGGTTGTCATGATATCATCATCTACTCGAAGGGCGGTGAGATGCATTGATTGAAATAGAGTGTAACGGTATGAGACGATATATGCAAATAGGGTAGAAGAAGTTAATCATGACAATATATTCAGATCATATTACAATGTCAAAAGTTAGAAAATAGTATAAACAGATTTGTTGATGATGCTTGAGCAAGTCAACTACTCGAGATTGACTCAGAAATGAGTGTGACAACGTGGCCGAGTTACACGTGATTCGTAATTTATACAAAACTTATAATGTTGTCGGAGCGAAAGAAGAGTCATATCGATAATTTGGTATTGGTCAATATTTTGAACCACGGACAACAACTAAACTAGATCTATTTTATGATTCAAAGATTAACAAAAAGATTTATACCACAGTAAAAAACTATTTACAAATAGCTAAGTGACTCTTAAGGTGAGTGGCTGTACAACCAGCTGTCCTATCTCCAGGCACAACTCAAAAACAGTACCAAATCCAGAGAGGAGCGAAATATTTGCTAGGTGCCGCTAAGTGTTTCCCTTTTTTTATTTTTCTTTTTTTGACCTTTTTATTTCTAGTATAAGTTTGGAACTCTTGATTACTCTCTCTCTACAAGGATAATATACTTGCACTTAACTAATTGTACTATAACTACTTGGACAAGTACAGCCTTTTCACTTACTAGAGGTTGATGCATTGTAGTTCGTGGAGTGAACCAAGTAAACAAAAGCATAAGATACAGAAACCCAAGAAAATTGACTGGGAGAATAGAGAATATTGCAAGGAGATAGTACCTAATGAAATCAGCAGGATAAAGATCAATAGAACTAATTGAAGCAGACATTGATGTACTGCCATTTTCTCTCTCTTACTCTTTCTCTCTGCCTTCGATTTTTACAATAGGGACAGGAAAAATTGTTAGATATGATGCACATTAAGTCCCTTATCCAGCTAGAGAGAGGGTGTATATATGTAATATAAGAGAATACGTGAGGAGGGCGAGTAGATAAAAAGCACTTCCCAATGTTAGAATTTAGAAAGTTTTTGTAGGAAAGTAGATGATACCTTTCCTAATCCCTTCCTGCAAGATTAGAATATTCAATTCCATACTTCCTCTCTGGATTAGGAATCTCCTTTTGCAATTGTCACAAGGGACTGCCGAATTAGGAAAATAATGGTGACACATGTCATTATTATTTTGTGGTGTCACTTTCTAACATTAAAATAACGTGTAGACAAATAAACTTTACATAATTTAATAACTATTTTATCCATATAAGAAAATAACTATACTGGGTAAATAAGTAAAGTTCAGTTTATCTATTTTTAAGTTTATTATTAGATAATTAAGTCACAAGATAATGATAACATATTATCATAGTTTTACATTGAATATTTAGTAAAAACTTCTGCATGCAAGAGAGAGATGTGTTACCATCTGATACACTTTTTGAGAGAGAGAGAGAGAGAGAAAGACCAATCTGAGGCAGATGGCTAGCTAGGTTCGTTAAGTATATGTGCAATTGGAGAGGGATTGGCCTAAAACACGAAAATGAGTTGGGAGAAAGGCGTGTAGGGATTCCTTCATTATTTGGCCACAATTTAAAAATAATAAAATAATAAAAAAGGAAAACTAAATTTGTACAGAACATATTGCTCATTAGTTATTAATGAATTGAGATTCTCTCCAACGTATCATTTCTTTATTTTTTTGATGAATCATTCTTTCCCTAAGTTCAAGTGAGATCTGTTATTTATGAAAAGTTAGATTGTAATTTTTTATTTTTCGATAATTTTCGTGTAATTTTTTATTTTTTGATAATTTTTGAATAATTGAGAATGATGTAGAATAGGTGGCTGAAATGACTTGGGCTTAGAATGTATTGAGACTAGTGGCATTTTATTTGGATCGGGCCAACGATCAAGATCATTGCCATGCCATGAGTCCTATTAGTTTTATGTTGAATTCAATCATTTAGGCACTCAAAATTTTATTTTTATCATTCTAGAAAAAAAATAATAATAAATTAATAATAAATCGTAAGAGAGTTCGAATTCAACGCCTCTAATTTTTAGTTAGTCCCTCACTATATTGCATCTGATATACTAGGTATAAAGGTCTATAGAGATAGATCTAGAATGTTGCTTTGGGTATTCCAATCCTTGTACATAGACATGATGTTAATGAGATTTAATATGCAGAATTCCAAGAAAGGATTTTTACCTTTCAGAGGAGGAATTCATCTCTTTTAGGACATGAGTCCTACAACATCAAAAGAGAGAAATAACATGAGCAATATTCCTTATGCTTAGCAATAGGTAGCCTCATGTATGTTGTACTATGTACAAAAACTTGATATCAGATATGTAATAAGTGTTACTAGCAGATATCAGTCAAATTTCATGTTTGGAACATTGGAATGTATTCAAGACATTCTTAAGTACTTGAGAAGAACTAAGGATGCTTTTCCTGTCTATGGAGAATGAGAGCTACGTGTGGATAGATATATAGACTTAAAATTTTAGTCTAATGTAGATAAAAGGAATATCTACTTCTAGATTTGTATCTATCTTAAATGATGAAGTAGTGAGTTGGAGAAGCTGCAAATAAGATACTACAGTGAATTTAACTACTAAGGTTGGGTAAGTTGCCGCCTTAAAAGATGCCAAAGAAGCTATTTGGATTAAGAATTTCAATAATGAACTTAGATTAGTTCCTACCATTGAGTCACATATACTATTATATAGTGACAACAAAGGGGCAATAGCTCAAGCCAAGGAACCAAAGTCTTATCAAAAATCCAAACACTTATAGTGGCATTCAACATGATCTAAGAGATCATTGGAAGAGGTGATGTGTGTATCTAGAGGATTGCATCAATAGATAATATAGCGGACCCACTTACGCAAACACTAAGATAACACCAACTAGACAGACATCTTGAGAAGACGGGTATTAGATACATGGTTGATTGGTATTAGTGCAAGTGGGAGATTGTTAGTAGTATGCTCTATGACCAATCATATAGATGATGTTTTAGGGTTTTACTAGCAATATTCATTATATAATTAAATAAAAGGACAAGTTTATTTATCATGCTTCTACTTTATTTCATTTTAATATACATGATATAGTTCATAGAGTATAAGTTAAGAAGATAGTTTCTCAAAGTGTTGAGAAGAAGAGACCTATACTTCTTAGTACTTAACTCTTAAATGTTCCTAGTCATAGGATTATTATGTGGGCACTACGTAATCCGGATAGACTAGAACACAGTATGTTTACTCATATTTGATATGAGGTGACTTATCCAAGTCACTAGTGTTGGGACACTGAAGCAGGTGTGTGGGTGCTTGTTAGAGAACAAGTACACTGAACATGACCATTGACAAATGTAGGATTTTTCATATGGAGTTTTACATGTCTGTCAATGTTAAATCCTAAAGTTATAGTTATGCAACTGATCCTTAAACTTGAGACACCATGGTTGTCGTGTGCATCGACTTCTATGCTTTAACTATACAACATATTCATTTACTAACCATGTAACTTGGATATGTATTGTTAGACATAGTTAGGCACGCATGAAGACTTATAAGTGTACAAAATAGAATCTATCATCCTTAGTAATTAAAGAGAGAATGTAATTCCATACCATACTAATTCAATTGGGGCATTGTGTGATAAAAGGATTGACTTGCATGGCAATTATAGACTGCTAGGTGTCACTCTTTACCTACTTCGTGCTATTCGGAGGTTGATCATGATATGTTGTTAGGTGTCACTCATGATTAGTAGAAGCCCAAAGAATGAAATTAATATAAATATATTAATTATTCTTCATAAAGGGAGAATTAGAAGAGTTCTAATTCAAGCTAAATTAGAAAGAGTTCTAATTTGAGATGCAACTTGTAGTTAGTATTGAATGCCTACAACCAGGTATGCTTGAACCTATAGGGTCACACACAATAGAATTGATTGAAAACTAAAGGATAAAAGAGAGACAACCAATTAAGAGTTAATTGGGGTGAAAACCTAATTAAGAGTTAATTAGGGACTTTATTACAATTAATGTTAATAAATAGGTTATATGTAATTATGAGATAATTGCAGTTTGACCCAAACTAGGATTAGAGTATTTAAAGCTCTATAAATACCTTTATGTAGGAGGTGGATTAAAATATATATATATATATATATAAATAACAACTCTCTTGCTAGCATAAGAAGAAGTAATCCTCATTCTCTCTCTCTACTAGTTTTATCAATGGTTGAAGTAGATCCTTCAAGTTTGTCAATTCATGTGGATACTAATAGAGGTCAATCGTTTGCGAGGCTTGGGGTAAAGATCAAATTCAGATTTGAAGATTTAAAATTTTGAGAATGCTTGAATATTTTTAAAGGCACGCTTCAAGAGATAATCCTTAATCTTCTCTGTAGATCTAAGATTTCTCAGTTTGTATTAAACATGAACAGATCTTGGTATAAGGAATCAAATTATTATTTTTTTTAAATTCCATTGCGTTTATTATATGATTCCTTTTTAGTTCCATCACCCCATAATGCTATTATCGGAATACCATGGCTACACCAAATGTAAGCGGTAGCTTCCACTTACTACCTGATGCTATGCTTCTTGACCAATGAGAGGATAGCTGAGATTCGTGGAGACCAAACTACTCCAAAGCATTGCCTCAAAATTGGGGCTAAATTGATGACAAAGTCTCAACAGATGTATGTAGCTAATGAGAAGGTCCCCCTTCTTAAGGATGTAGGGGTTAAGCCCAAACCCAAATCAATTGAAGAATTGACCACTTGTTAGCTAGTCATCATCTTATTGTTGACCCTGCTTGCAAGCCTATTATTTAGAAAAGTGGGAGGTCCGCTAATTCACACTTTTTCGTGATCGGATTTATATGTATACACCCAAGTATAAGTGGTCGAATTGTAGTTTTTTCGGTTTTAAGTCCAAGTATCGATCCCACGAAGAGTTTGAATAATTATGAAATAAAATAAAAAAAGTGAAGTTGTTATTTTAGATGGGACAAAATGTGATAACTTATGATGTGAGCTTAGATTGATAACTAGTCTAGTTAAACTTTTATTTGCAAATAGATTAAGACAATAATAAAAAGTATCCTTCAGTTTAAGGATCTCATATGCATTATATTGGTTAAGTACCAAAAATGCTAACTTACAGCAATTAACTTCCATCTTACTGGCAAGTCAACTAGTAGGTCTGATGTATATAAACCATCATACAACAACTTCTTAGGTTAGCTGGTGGTATCCATGATAATTGATTAATCCAAGCAAACCAAAAGGACAAGTCATTCATGAGGAATAATTGAATTATTCAATTGACTCCTTAATATTCGGTGCGTACATAATAAATCATAACACAACCACTTCTTAGGTTAACTGGTGGTAATAAGTCATAACATAGCAACTTCTTAGGTTAGCTGGTTATAGATGTTCCATTTGACTAATTCGAGTGAACTAGAAGGACAAGTCATTCATGACGAATACTTGAATTATTCAATAGATCATCTGTAATATATATATACCAGTTAAACATCATCAGCGTTCCAGTGGAGGATATACTATACAGGTAGGAATGTCGTAGATATTCGACTAGTAATATTATCATTTATACTAGTTAAACGATCTTAGTAATTCAGAAGGACAAGTCATTCATGAGGATCACTTAATCTGAAGGACAAGTCATTAATCTGATAGTTACATATAGTAGTTAAACAACCCTGATAATCCAGAAGGCCACACCATTCACAAGGATCATTTAGGTTTTGTACCATGCATCAGTAGAACATCCTCAATATTCCGGTTGAGGATAAACCATACCAATATAAACACCATAGATATTTAATCGGCAGGTTCATGATGCATTGATATCGTAATTCTAGGCACAACACCGAAATTACGTACATCACTGTATCATGCATGAAGCATATAATACATAAATATATATATATATAAATATATATATATATATATATAACATCAGCATTTACAAAATTTAACCAATATTGTACTTATTTTTACCTCTCACTGGAGGATATAAGTAACTACTCACACCCCATTGCTAC